CATTGGAAACACCATTTCCAGATCTGAGATTCATTTTTGCAGCAGGAAGTTTCACAGAGGTTCCAAGCACCTCAGCCTTTTGCTTGAGGAATTTCAGAATTTACAGGATTGTGTCTCATGCCTGAAATTGAGCAGGATTTATTTATATAACATATTTTCATGCCTGACAAACAGTGTTTAAATCAGGGCCTCTTGAAGAGGGCACCTGAACATATGCTGAAGTATATGGAGGTTGGGGAACCACTGAAAGGAGGTGGCTGACCTTGGATTGGGAACAGTAGGAATGGGAGCCTGTGCCTGCAGGAAGCCCACAAGCATTTCTTGGAGCCTTTACTAACAGGCAGCAGACTCAGCAGCTCCTAGCTTCCATATTTTGCCTTCACTCCTTCTTTCCATACTGTTTAGATTCTTTGTAAAGAGTTTTTTGAGCGCAGCTCCTTCCTTCATGCCTCTTTCTACCTAGGCTATCTTCTTGCAACCATGTATTCTCTTTCAGTCTCCTAAAGTCTGCCCTTTGTACCACAATACTTCTGCAAGTCATTTTTCTCCATTTAAGTAGTAGTTAAACTGATGGGATGAGATGGTACAGAACGGAGCATGTGAAAAAAGCTCTCAAGGGATTTTAATTTTTCAAGTGGCATAACCAAATCAATTATATTACACAACTGACTAAGTAATTCCGCGTTGATTATTTCATCTTCTTTGCATGTCCAAAAAATACAGTGAGATACCTCTCATACCTTATCCATGAGACTAGTTTTGTGGACTTCTAGAAGCCACTTATGTGCACAGTGAGCAGGATAAAATGTATCTATGTACAGCTGTTGAAAACATCTGATGTAGTGCTCCTGTGATCATCTAATGGTATGGAAAAAAGGGAAGCTAAGCTTCCTAGTATGCATCTTTATACTCAAGTCGGTATAAGGTAAAGTATAATATACTTTATAATATATTAACATTAAGGACTTTTTTCCCCAATGTAGTAATTATTTCTGCACAGCATTAGCACAGGATTACTTAGACTCTTAAAAATTATTCAAAAGGAACATTTCCTGGGCATGTAGGTAAGTATTACTGAAGACAGGATTTGTTCTTAGGTATTCCTAGTGATTTTTTTCTGAAATTGTGTTGAACTTCATATTCTAGCATGCAGTTAACACAGGGGCAGACCTTCAGACTTTGAACTTACTGAGATTTTACTCTGAGCATCAACTAAAAATCTTGCAGTAAGCCCATCACATTTAATGCAGAAAAGTTGAGTTTAGTATTCCAGCCACCAATAATGATGGCAGGTTAGTTATCTTACTTTTTTTTTTGCCTTTGATATGGATGCATAGGTGTGCAAATCACAGATACATGTCCATCCTGAGCCACCTTTTCATTATTGTTTGGAACTGGCAAAAGATTATTTTGGAGATGATGACCATGCTCTCCGTTTTTTTTGGTAGGAGTTTCTGTCTCCTGGGCTCACAATAATGTAGCTATCAAGGAGAGCAGAGGGATAGATTATATTTATGGGCTTAAGCCTAGACAACATTGAGAAGATGACCAATCTGCTCAGACGTAATAATGTCCCCTGAGCTTTTTAAAAAATTTTCTTTACAGCATCTTACTCTATTGTCTTTTCCTATACAATTGAGCAGTTACGCCATATGCAATTAGACTGTGGAGTCTTGGGGAAAAAGCTGCATTTCATGGTGGCTGGAGTGGTTATATGAAAAAGAAACTTCCTAAACTGCTTGAGGATTTTCAGGGTGAAATAAGAATATCAGTAGAAACTTTACATATTTATGAATATAAAGTTAAAAGCAAATACATTTTTTTATATTGCATGATCCAATGTCAGAGCTATGATTTTAACACTGTTACAGACTTTTTTAATGCTACTTACCTATCAGGAGAACATTGTAAAATAAAATAGTACATCTGCTATGCCTTCTTGAAACTGTGCGTTAAGTAGGGCCCTCGCAGGTAGAGTGAGCTGTATGTGTGAGAACAACTTGTTATTCCCCCATCCTCATCAGATCTGCATGTTGAGATCCAGCTATATGTTACTGCCATCTTTCATAACAAACAAGATTAGTTATTGACATGGTGCTTTGCTTTTTCATTTATTCCTGATTGGCACAGGTTGCAGTAGAGGAGAAACAGGTCCATACTCTATTATGATGGGATCAAACACCTTCATGGTGTTAAATGCCAGGTTAAATGCAAGGTAAAATGCTGGCATTGCCTAAGAAGGAGAATTCACAAAAGCTAACTCAAGCCTAGTGGCAATCTTGCTTGGCAGCTTCTTGTGAATGAAGGCAGGTTCCTCCAGGAGTTAGCTAAATTAGTCTTTTGCTTTGAATCATTGTCTGGAAGGGACTTCCTCTCTTCCCTGTTGTCTGGACCGTTTTCTGGATGAACGAGCTGATGCTATGCTTTGTGAGTCAAGTCCTATGCTGAGAAGGTTAAGCTAAATTCCCCTGTGGAGTAACTTTACCAAAATTAGTGGCATTCACTGATGGTTGAGTATGGCTCAAACATATTAGAAGATAACATTTGAATAAAATTGCATTGTAATCCCACTGCCCCCACTTCAGTCAGTTATAAGAAATCCCACTGACTTCACTGAGGATAGGGTTTCATCTGAAGGGTCTTGGGATTTACATGGCATATAATGTTAAGACATTTTATTTGTTTCCTTTTTTTATTTATAAAATAAATATATATTTTATTGTTGTTGTGTATATATATAATTTTGGCAGAAGTCACCTTAGCTTTCAGGTCTTAACGAAGAGAATTGAAGAGAACTGTTCACGGTTTATTTGGTAGTAGCAACTGATTCTATGAATCCAAAAATAATCCTTATGGATGATTTGTATGAATACTTGTTTGTCTGTTCACAAGTATTCATGGTGCTGATACCTAGGAGAAATGAACTCATGTATGTCACAGGAAACTAGGTTTCATATTGGCAGGGTCTACTGAGCTTAGGGACACCCAATTCAAAATATTTCTGCTTATGAGAAATGCACCATGCTTCTTTGCCTTTTTTTCCCCCATGGGAACATTTTCACATAGGAATCTACTTTGTCTCCTGGGAAATCATACAGTAAATCTTCGATAGTAGGAGTTGTAATTTTTTATATGCATCCCTTCATGGGTAGGGTTGGGAGGGCATGTAATTACCGAAAACAAGAGAATCAGTGAGCATTTTTCATGTAACACATGGCTGTAAATACACAAAAATAGTCTAAATGGGAAGCTGTGTAACATTAGAGTGCTTTAAGCTCCCCTCTGAGGTTGAAGTTAGATCATTTTAAAATAGCCTTCAAAAGTGATTTTAAAGAATTTGCAGGGCTTACTCACTTTACATGCTATCTTGGGTAGCATCATTTATTCTATCAACTCTGTTTAAATTGGTTGTATTTTTATAAAAGAATCCTCACTGAATCACTTTTTAAAACAAAACAATTTTTGTGCAGTCCTCAGCACGGGAGAGGTTTACACCTCAACATTTTACCAAAGAACTAGTAAATGCTTTTGATTTGCTTGCGTATGAGAGGTAGTTGGTCAAATAAGGAGACATCTGTTAAGCCAAAAGCATTAGGGTTTTTTGCCTGCCTATTAATTTTTAATATTTTATTTATTGTTGTCAATCAACATAATATTTTATTATTTCTCTTCATGATTTGTATTATTAAGAGAACAGTACCACCACTCTCTTCCAGTGAGCTGTTCTCGATCCGAATTGTAGACTGCGTTCAGAACTGGAGCAAGCTTGGTGTTCTTGACCAATTCTCAATTCAAGAGAACATGCCTTCTTCCTATGGGTCTTATTTTAGAAAGTTTTTTAAAGGTATACCAGAACACTGTAAAATATATTCCCTTTGTTCTACCTGCCAAAACATGAAAATACGGTCTTCCTCTTTGAAGAGGGTGTTTTGATAATGGTCATTGTTCTTTGAGCAATTAACACTATTCTAGCTTTCACAAGTTTTTCTATCTTACTTTCATGTATTGCTAGAAAAATGTTATTGTGTAAGAACATAACTTATTTACTGGGTCAAGACAAAAGTCCTTTAAGCCCAACATCCTGTCTCTGATGATGGCAAAAAGCAAATGCTTAGGAAGGAATGTTAAAATAGATGAGTGTATGGTGTTACTTCCCTGATAAACCCTTCCACCCTCCAGCAGCCTGTGGCTTAAAAATGTCCTGAGAGAAAAATTGCACCACTATCTGTGTATTTAATCATCCTTGCTATACTTTTTCTTCCATTACTTTATCTGATTGCTTTCTTGATCCACAGTATTTGTTTCTTCCATAATACTGTATGACAGTGAGTTCCACCATTTAATTGCACATTGTGTAAAACCCAATGTTACAATTTCAAATGTAAAATTAAATTTTCATAGTGATAAATACAGTTAACACACGAGGTTCTGTGCTGGTCGGTCACACTTAATGCGAGAGCATTAGCTGGGAGGGATACAGTTGACTAAATGCTTGTATGTCTTTTAGTTTCAATTTTTTCTACCATATCCAATGGTAGACTTTGTTAATAAGGATTAAAAACATTGCCTTCAGCTACCTCTAACTTTTTTCTGTTTAGAAGAATATTTAGCTGGGGTGAACCTTAAATTTCACCTAAATAAGCCTTTCAGCATTTGCACATGACATCCTCAGCTACCGTATAGTGGATATCAGGTCTTTTAGCTTTACAGAGTTTAGGTCACAGTTGTTTAGGATATTGTTTTCAGAGAGGTAATTAAACCAAAATACGTATTTCTTGCTGGTATTTCTAGCTCAGGTTCATTCTAAAACTTCGAGGTAAATAGTTTTGCCTGGGGGCTTGTGAAGATGTGTGCAGGCTGAGCTGTCTAATAGACACGGAGGACTTAATGGTCATGTAAAGATACAGTAAAATAAAATTGATATAATTTGAAATGTTTATTTTCCAGAGCTCCTTTTGTAGGTTAAATGCACAGCAGTGACTTTTCTCTCTGTTATACAGAGGAGCCAATATACTGTTATACACCACACAACTTCACCCGTGATCAAGCCTTGTATGCCAGAGGATATTGTTGGACAGAATTAAAAGATGCCTTGCCAGGAGTTGATGCCAGCCACTGGCCCTCCTTGTTTGAGCATAAGTTCCTACCTTATGCACTGCTGGCTTTTGCTGGCATAATGTACATTCCAGCTCTGGGCTGGGAATTTCTGGCCTCCACCCGACTGACTTCAGAGCTTAATTTTTTGCTTCAGGAGATCGATAACTGCTACCACCGTGCAGCTGAAGGGCGGGCACCAAAAATAGAGAAACAGATTCAGTCCAAAGGCCCGGGGATCACCGAGAGAGAGAAGAGAGAAATCATTGAGAATGCAGAGAAGGAAAAAAGCCCTGAACAGAACTTGTTTGAGAAATACCTGGAAAGAAGAGGACGAAGTAACTTTTTAGCTAAGCTTTACCTTGCGAGACATTTGTTCATCATCTTTTTAAGCATCATACCAATTACATACTTATCCACCTACTATGCTACACAGAAGCAAAATGAATTTACATGTGCACTAGGAGAGCCTCCAGACAAAACGAGCAGCTCCAAATTGCACATCAGAGTGAACTGTAAACTGCCATCTGTCCAGCTCCAGCGGATTATTGCTGGTGTGGATATCGTTCTCCTCTGCTTCATGAACTTGATAATCCTCATCAACTTAATTCACCTCTTCATATTTCGCAAGTCCAACTTCATATTTGATAAGCTGAACAAAGTTGGAATAAAGACCAAGAAACAGTGGCAGAAGTCCCAGTTTTGTGATATCAATATTTTGGCCATGTTTTGTAATGAAAATCGGGACCACATAAAATCACTGAACCGTCTGGATTTTATTACAAATGAAAGCGATCTGATGTATGACAATGTGGTACGCCAGCTGCTTGCAGCTTTGGCCCAGTCCAATCATGATGCCACTCCGACCATGCGTGATTCAGGGATCCAAACGATAGACCCAAGCGTCGATCCAGCAGACATTGATGCTAATGAGCAGCTCATAATTAAGAGACCAAGAAAGAAGATTAAATGGATCCCGACTACCAATCCCCTTCCTCAGCCATTCAAGGAACAGTTAGCCATTATGAAGGTGGAAAACCATAAACCTGAAAAACCGAAGCCTGTGCGGAGAAAAACAGCAACAGACAGCCTTATAGCTCCTTTGTTAGAGTCTGCTGCAAAAACCTCACAGCAACCGTCCGCTCATAAAACCGAGCCAAACGCCATCCCAAGCACAAGCAGTGAAAAGAAACACACACGACACTTCTCCTTGGATGTTCATCCCTATATACTTAGTAGCAAAAAACCCAAGCCAGAGATTCAAGCCATCCCCTCAATGCCTACGTCAAAAAGCCAAGAGGGTGGATTTTTAAACCAGGAAGAGAATGTCGTAGTACACGTTACCTCCTCCCTCAAAGGTACAGTATGCCATAGTGCCCGTACCAGCTCCACAGACCATAATTTGCGTAGCGATCTTCGGAAACTCAAAGCTTACCTGAACTGTTTGACCTACCTTGCTAGATTTTGGGATAGCTAATAATCTTAGGGCCTGCAGGCCTCAGAAATAGGGGTTCTCTCTCTTTATCAGTTACGTGGAGGATAAGCATTATTACAGGTAGAGCGGTACAAAACAGCCTGCAGGCTGTTGGTGCAGGTAATTTTTCAAAAGTAAGCAGATTTTCACAATTATGAATGTGGTCATGCCTTGCCAAGAAAATGAGGAGGGTTTGGCCTGCATGATACCCTTCGTGCTCTACCAGCACCTGGCACGCTTCAAGCCTGCCTTATTTTCAAGTCATGTGGAAACTGCCATGGTAGATGACCAGTACTCTGGCCAGTAATAACCACTTCTTAGGAATGTGTGAGAAACTCTGCTAATGGCAGTTAAAGCTTCCTGTAGAAAAAATTATCTTTAACTACCAATTCTTAGGCGTTGGCATGTGTTTGTCACCTAGGAAATCACAACTCAGATCATTGATACTGCTCTTCACGCAAGAGACGTTTTAAATTGCCCTTTGTCTCATGTGGACCAGAGGATGGATGGTCTGAAGTGTAGGTGCTGGTCGGGGATTCAGGAATTCTGGCATTCCCCTCCCGTGTGGCCTCACAGGAGATGCTCTTTCTGTGCCGCAGTTCCCAGTTTGTGTCTTGGAAATCCTGTCCCTTTCTTACCTCAAAGGAGTGTTTCAAATATATCAATAATTGTTAGGTGCTAGAGTGATGGGGAAAGCCATGTGAGCACTAAGAAAAGTGGTAGATCAGTAGATAAACTGATAGATAGGTATCTTCTTGTTTATTTTTGTAAGCTATTGACATAAGAAAGAAGCTATGCAGTTGAAGTTACAGAAAGATTTGTACATACTTAAAGCAATGGCTCTCATCTCATTACAAGCTAAGACCTCCCTCTGGGCTTCGACAGACTGACAGCTACCGTCACCCCACTGCCCAGCAAAGAAGTGATTTGAGGTATAAAAGTTTCTGTCACTTCCAAATCCTTATGCTCCTTAGAGCCCTCCAACTCCCCAATGTGCATGTGAGCTATTCTACAGCATTCCTTATCCAGTCACCTGCTCTGATTTCAACTCCTCAAAACTACTGGGGGTCTCTGGTCTCAATTACTTTCATCTAAATTAGTGCTTGAATATTTTAAGGGCAAAAACTAATTACTGTAGTTTTGGGGCTCTGTTACTCCCCATTCCCATTAAAAATTTTCAGCTTTGCTTTTGAGTTAGACCTACATTGCAGTCCATCAGGTAAGGTAGACTTATAATTTCTGGAAAGAGACATCAGTTAATGTCAAATTGCTGAGTTCTTTCTAAAGACAAGTGGCTTACAATGTGTAACCACTATTTTTTCCCATTGAAAATATCAGTGCTTTTTGTATTCCATCCTGTGGATTTCAACATTCATAACATTTGTCAAAACATTAAATCATAACATTTATAAAATACCTGCCAGACTGTAGAGGAGAATAAAAGGTACTTTTCAGTTGTTTTTTGTTCATTTTACGAAAATACCATTCACGTAAGGAAGCATGAGCATGCGTAAAAATGAGCGAGACTTACAAAACCCGTTTGTTGTTTGTCCTGTTTCCCTGAGCTTACAACCCTGTTGTTTTGAAAGAGTCCTGTTGGATTTCTCAGAGGGTCCCAAGAAAATTCATTTTTGGGTCCACTCCTGCTCCCACTGAAATCAGTGGCAATGCTGCCAGTGACTTTTACTGGTTCAGGACACTGCTCTGTGATGGACTGGAAGGGTGAAAGACTACCTGTCTTTTAACTGGCTGTTTTGTTTTCTTCTAGACACCCCTCATCCTGCAAAAGAGATCCTATACTCATCTGAGACGTGCAGAACTGTGCCTGCTGCCGGGGCTTTTGTCACATGCAACCACAACCATATAGCCACAACTGCTGCAACGAGTATGACTTTGAACCAAGTCAAGCCAGAGCCAACACCTGCACTGAACTGCAACCCAGCCCACCCTTTGCTGCACATCAACACACTGTACGAGGATCACGAGGAGGAAGTTTCAAGCATAATAGACAATGGTATTCACTCACCAACTGACACCGGGGAAATTCTCTCCATCCCCACCCCAAAGCAGATAAGGTTGGCAACATTTGATGAACCACTGGCAATCGTGAGCTCGGTGGAGTACTGAAGACCCCGGGCTGCACAGCTGCGTCTTCGTGGCCAGGCCCGAGACCACTGCAGTGCGGACCACCGTCCCCCCAGCGATGCAATTCACTGCATGAGCATGGAGAGTTTTCACACAGACTATAGCTTTTGGTGATAACACCAAACGGTTTTTCAGGATCACATCATGAGCACTGTCAGTCATTTGCAAAATAGAATAAAGAAAAGATCTGGCGGAAATAGACCTTTAACACCAAGACAACCATTAGCTCTAGCTCTAAACTATAGCTTCCTTATTTAAAGGGGGATTAGCACAATTTATGAACATTAAGAGTGATGGCATGCCACAGTAATTTTAGTGAGTATTTAAATCCTTTGCATTCAGAATCACTGATTAAAGTTAAAACAACGTGGAGGTGAGGTATACTTTTTTAATGGCAGCAGTTAAATAAGAGTTTTTTTCTAAGCAGAGAGGATTTTTTTTCAATTCAGGATTATGAAAAAGTTATATGCAAGCAAAATGTTTGTTTCTTTCTTTCTTTAGCTCACTAATGTTGGGCTTGACGGAGACTTAGCTGAAAGGGCCTTACTACCACCAGCATTTAAGTGCAAAAAGATTGATACACTCAATCTCTTGCATTTATAAATGAAAATACCTGAGGTATGCCCTGCCCTTTAACACACTTATATGTTTGATGGAAGATGATGAAATGAAGAGTTTATTTTTTTAAATATATTTTACCATGGGAAAAATTACTTTAATAACTTTTCAAACCAGGTGTTGCTTTTAACAAAATGTGTAGAAGAGAGTCATTGTAGCTGCTTATTTTTTCATAGTATTTATGAACCAGGTTAGAAACTTTCATGGGTGCTTCATTGATACGAAAAAACTTACGAAGGTCATTACAAAATAACTTACAAAATATGAAACCAGCAAAACTGTTTTCAAATAACACACAGTTCAAGAAGTCTGGGAATTTAGGTCTGCAGACTTGGCTAGTCCTTGATTCAGCAAACACTTGAGGCCATGGATGGCACTGAAACGACTCATATGTCTAAAGCTAAGCACACACTGAAATGGCTTTGCTGGATCTGGGCTCTAGTGCAGGCAGACGATAATCCTGCAGTATGTGCTATCACGCTGATGCAGTATTTGCCTTCCTTGGCTCAAAGCACATCTTCATGCCCATCTTCCTATAACTACGGTATGTGTGATTTAATAGAAAACTCTAGTAACTAAAACATCTATTAAAAGTGTATCATGCAATAACCATTCTCAGCAAAATTATAGTGAAACAAAAAGTGACTGTGTTAAAATAATATTCCTAGCTGCATTCAGAATTATGGACTATGTGTGTTTGGTTCAAAATTATGTATAATGGTAGAAAAAAATGCAGCACAAATATGGGACTGAAATCTTGAATTTATTTTTAATTTATTACCTCAGACATGGATATATGATACCAATATTTAATTAAAATAGCACTAAAATAAATACCTATTATTCTGAATAGTTTAATGTGTACTACTTCCTAGCTTAGTTACATACAAGTGGGATTTTATTATAAGCAGTAGGCGGGACATGTAAAGCCACCATTCCCCGCTACATTTCTTCAATTATGTCCAACCTTTTTGGCCTGAACAGCCAAATACCAAAAAGGCAGCAAGCCACAGGACACGTACCGCAGGCCGGGGTGGGGGCGTTGGGCACAGCTGAAGGACCTGGCTTTAACACCCCGAGGTCTCGGCGTGGCATGGGGCAGCGTGGAGCTGATGGGGGTCATGGAGCTCGGTCCAGGGCAGCTGGGAGATGATGGCTGCAATGGCTCCTGCTGGCTTGTCTTCTTCCAGCCCTGGGGACATTGACGTTCCCCCGCAGCCCGCAGCAGAGCTCTCTGCATGAGGCAGCCGAGGGATGAGCAGGGATTTGAGCAGTTTATATGCTGGTGGCTCCAGGGCCGTAGGTTGGTCACCCCTCTTCTAACCCGCTCGAACACAAGCTGCAGGGTGTTCAGCATCACTGCCTGCGCGACCGATAAACTGGTGTGATTTTTTAAATAACAAATCTGCGCCTGCGAGGCCAGGGCCTCGTTTTACCTCAGGTACAGGAGGAAGCTTTCTGCAGCAAGGCAGCCTAGGAGTGGAGCATCACCCGTGACAGGACTGCAAGCAAAGTCTCTGCCCGGACTGATGGGTAACTGCCATCCATTCAGAATCACCTGAAACCAATGGCACATAGAGACTTTGGAGGTGAACCAAATGCCCCACTACATCCTATTCACTTAGATGAATGCTGTAGTTAGGATTAATTTTTTGGGCAAATTAAAACCATTATAGTTCAGTACTTGTTAAACACCAATAAATCATTAGAAAAAATGTGGAAAATTGCCTTAAGAATATCAGGAACCTGTTAATAAAAGCAGAGTGAAAGAACAGGACCCTGAGGCCAGATTTAAAGAGATGTAACTCTCTTATATGCCACTGTACTTTCAATTGTTGGAAGGCAGCGTGGTGAATTTCTTCCTGGTTGCAGCAGCTCAGCTGACAATGTTACAAATGCATGGGGAAATCCTTGGGGTTGCCTGTTCGCTCTCCACTTGGTATCACACATTGAGCAACATGTCAACCGTATGGGTCTGTAGCTAAAGTGATATACCAATATACATATATACCAGTGTCAGGCAAAGCAGAGTACGTCTAAAAACTAAGGATCTGAACTTTTGTAGCACATCATTGAAAATAGCACCATTCAATAACTAGAGGGATTTTCATTATGCAGAAAATGCAGGGCTGGGTTCTCGGGCAGGTACACGTACCGATCTATGAGAGTGGTCTTTCCTAGGAAGGGTTGCCCACTAAGGTGCACATGTCCTCTATTCATTCAAGAGCAGGACTCAAGTCTGTGTGGACACACTGTCATTCTCCATGATACTGCTGGTTTCTATTGATTTAGGATCTGTTGGTGCCCTTGTAGAAATCAGTATCAGACTTGACTGGACCAACTTAAAGAAAGAAAGGAAAGCATATAGCTTTTCTCATCCCTGGGACAAGCTAAACTCAGAGAACACCCACTTTACTCGTCTTCGCCTGTTGCGTTACAGGAGCATTGCACCATCCTCTTTCACAAGCCGGAGGCTGTGGATGTTGGGCACCCAGCTCTGAGTGTTAACACGCTAACTACTTGCTAAGGGCAGGATGGTGGCCCAGGCCTGGTATTTCACTGACCAAGCAAGCAGAGACCAAGTGCAGCTTAGTCTTGGCTGATGTGGAGTAGATAACTGATGCAGGCACGTAGCAAACACTGCCTTGCTAAGTGTCCTACCCACCGAGAGGAACTTACCTAAACTGAATGACCAAAGATGAGAAAGATGAGAGACAGCCTCATTTTTAAATATCTCTTTAGCCTGAATCTCATTAGCATCTCCATCTGCCTCGTCTCTGCTTAATGGTTTCAGCTTGACAGATCAGATGACTCACATTCTGCAAGGCTGCTTTCCCATTTACTTCACTGGGAAAAGGACCACATGTTGAGAGCACAGAAACCCCTTTCTTCAGGGTACTCTTATTCAGAGTGCGTTTGACAACCAAACAGGAGAGACAAGTGTGTCAGAAGCATCTTTTGAGCTATGTTTATGCTGTCCAAACCCAGCAGGAGATCAGCCATTTCTGTCTCACAGCCAGCTAGAGAAGTGCTTCTGTTGGGATTTTTTTAGTGCAATAATGCTTTTTAGTATTGATGTTACTAACATTTAGCTGTACTGAGTAAATGTACACATACACACACACAGACAGAGATTTATATATATCAGCTGTATACCTACAAATTCTATACACACATGCAAATATGTATCTGTTGCATTGAAATGTTCATCTTCTCTACTTTGCTTTGTAAATAAGCTATATTTAGTCATTTCTTTTCTCTTCGTTTCTCATTACCATGCACTAGTCCCAACCCAGCAACATGTTATGCATCTTTCTGACTCCGCTGGGATTTTCTGATGCTCGGCATGCTGGTGAGGATGCTCTGTTCCCTGCAGAGTCAGGTGTGCTGGGTAGTTTATATTTTGATATTGACAGCGAGTCAGGCCCTCATCTTGGCCCTTTTCTGCACGCTGCTTCCTACGACTCCTTGGCACCAAAACACAGGACAGAATTTACGTCTGTGCTGGGGAAGCGGTTAGGATAGCTGACAGCTATTTTGCACATCCTTTGTATCTCCAGAGCTGGCTCCCACAGCCGGCGTTGGACCCTGAGGCAAGCAAAGCAGAGTTGAAGTTCCTCTCGCTTGTCCCTGGTTACCAGCCACCGGGTTATCTGCCAGTTAACAGTACAGCAGAGAGAGTGCTCACAGGCTCTATGGCTGCAAGAGAGAGATGCTGCACTGAGGGTATTTCATCTCTAGCTTTAAGAAAGCTTGTCACTGCCCTTTCAGGCTTGCATCAAAAGGAGCACTAATGAAAAGCTAAGTCTGAGAGCATGAGCCCAGGCTCCTAAAGCCACTGACCCAGTGAAAACTGAAGACAGCCTTAAACACACTTGACCTAGTGCTGCGTAGGGGAAAATTCTTCCCTTCATATCACAGTCAAAGAAGACTATTAATAGGAATAGTGAAAACCCAGCTTTAACCTTCCAGAGGGTTTAAGAAGCTCTAGAAGAGCTCATCATCGTTGTCCCCAGCTTACGGATGCAGACACTGAAGCACAGGAAAGTGAAACAATTTGTCCCAAAGCTACTGAAGCACAGGAAAGTGAAACAATTTGTCCCAAAGCTACTACAAGGCTACTTAAACTATCTAATCTAAATCTGAGAACACGCCATAGGTCGGGCACTGCCCTATCTGCCAGCGTAAGCAAGTGAGGATGGTGTTGGGCGCTGCAGGAAAGCTCTCTGAATTCTTCTCCTAGCAGAAAATGCTTTTTTTTATTCTACCAGAAACATTGTGGAATATTGATCAAAGTATGTTTGGCTTTAAAGAAACAATGGGTTTTCTCATTAAAATCATTCTGCTAAAATACAAGCCACAGAGCACACTGGGAGTTTTAAACAGGACAATTATTTTTCAGACACCTTCTAATATTTTCTGGCTTTTAATGAGGAATATTCCACTCCATCTGTAAACAGACTGTAACTAATGGGAAAACATTCTGTGTACATTATTTACAAGCAACAAATTTTCAGCTTTTGCTATTCTCTGAACAGTTTTAAAGCGTTTCTTAGCTGTTTTGCAACATTGTACAAACAGAAAAATTTATGAATGACTCTGCCACGCCAGTGAGGATCTCAGGGCTCTGCAGGTCAGATTCAAGGAAACGCTGGCCCGCCAATCCTGTTGTCCTCAGTGGTTACTGATGCCTCTGACTTAATGCTTTACTGACTTGCTATTTGTTCACAGAATGAATTTGCCCGGAGTCAAAGCCAGCTTAAACTGAAAGAAGAAGTTGTTGAGTCTCCTGCTGGGCTCGAAAGCAAAGAAGTTTACTGACTCTTTTGGTTAACTAGAAATAATTTTGCTTTGTAATCTGAGGGCTCATAGCATTCACCAATCTAGCTTTCCAAAAACACATCCAGGGAGTGCGCAGAATACAATAAATCCCTGGAAGAGGAATGCATGATTCACAAGCAAAATCTGGTGTCTTGCATGAAATGAGACAGAAAACTACACCATATCCTCCGCTGCAGATGCCTGTCTGTAAAGAAAAATTACATGCTTAAAAGATGATACCGGTTTTTGCTCTTAGAGCTTTTATACTATGTCAATAAAGCCATGGCAGTTTACCGCAGTTATTGCTCTGGGTAACAAGGCTGTGCCCCGACCCTGGGGCGCACAGCGGAGGAGACAGACGGGTATCTTCTGTGGCTGAGGGCAAGAGCTTCTGGAAGTAGGTCGGGAAA